AGGGAAGAATTGATGCATTCATATTTTTAGTTTATTTTTTGTTTTAATGTATTTTGAACAATGTTAGTTGTGTTTTATATTTTTTAAGCTATCCAATGATGGTTGAAGCATCCAATGATCATGGTAGGAAAGTGCTTAGGCATGGCAAGCCTTGGGTTTGCTTGCGCTTGGGTCCATTTTGTCCTTGGGCTGCTTGCTGTTATCGGTTTGGAGCTGTTTGCTGCTCTCGGGTTGGGCCTTGGCTGTTTGCTGATGAGCTTAAAATGGTTCCAGTTGGTGTTAGCTCATTAATATTTGAGCTAAAGTTTAGCTCAATGATTGGGGGAATAAATGCACTTCTTAGCTCATTAAATCAAAAAGGTATGCTTCTATTCAAGCTCATTATTGTGGAGTGGACTTATGTCTCTTCCTTTCCCATTGTCTTTTCGGTTTCTACTGGTTGTTGTTGTTCCCGTGGTCCTCCCTTTCAGTTTTCCCCCTCCTGGCTGTTTTCCCGTAATGTGTTGCCTTGTTTCCTGTGCTGGCTCTTGGGGTCCCTGGCTGGTTGGGCTTCCCGTGACTGCTGGTTGGGTTTTCTGTGACTTCTCCCCTTGTTTTCTGTGCAGAATTTCTGTGGGCTGTTATGTGTCTTTTGGCCTTTCATTTCCCCAATTTTGATTGGATTTGGTTGGAGGTGCTATGGCTGTTTATCTTCTTTCTTTTGCCTATAAAATAGAGGTGTTTTGGAATGGAATAGGTTGTTGAAAATCTGAGCAAAGTCTCTACAAAAATCTGAGGGTTTATTCTCTTGGAAAAGCTTGAGATCTTATTCCACCCCCTTTCCTCCTCTCTATTTCGTCTTGGCTTCTAACCTCTTCTTCTCTACGCAAGTTCCACTCCACCTGTATCCTTCTTCTTGAGCTTTGGAAATTACTTGTTGGCTGAAATTTGGAAACATTTGCCGGAGGAGTTTGGTAGAACGTTGGAACCTTTTGCAGTGGTGGACCCTCGGTTTGCAAACCTAAGCACAATTTTAAAATATTTTCCTTCTCTCGTTGCATGTGAGGAAACCACTAGACCGTTATACTGAGGATAGCATTTTTATGTTCTTATTTTATTTCGCTTGATTTGGTTTTTGTTTCTTGAATGTTTGTTTGGTTATTTGCAAGCTATAGTGAATCGAGTTTAGTTTATATTTTGTCCTAGTATTCTCCAACTTGTCTTTTCTCTCTATTTTGCTTGCATCAGTAGAGGAGGACAAGCCGCATCTTGACGTGGTAGAGATCTCCCTGAACTCAATGGTAGGATTCACCCAAGTCATACCATGAAGGTGAAGGGAGAAATAGCAGACAGGGAGGTGGTGGTGTTGATTGATAGTGGGGCTACCCACAATTTCATATCCAACTAGGTCGTGAACCAATTGGGGGTGATATTGATAGAGATAGGGTGCTATGGAGTGAAGATGGGCACGGAAAAAGTGGAGATGAAATGAGAGATCTATAGTGGAGTAATGCTGACAATATAGGGGGTTCACGTGATGGAGGATTTTCCCTCATTAGAGCTAGGGAGCACTTATGTCATCCTGGGAATGAAGTTTTTGTAGACCTTGGGAACACCAAGGTCAACTGGGAAGCATTGACGATGGAGTTGGTGGAGGAGAGGAGAGGGAGAAGTGTAGTGACCAGGGAAGATGTAGGGCTATCTAAATCCATGGTTTCATTAAAGACCATGATGAGGAGCATGTAGGAGGTGGGGGAAGGTTTCTTGGTGGAGCTACAGAGGCTGGAGCGGATCCAATTGGAGGGTAGGGATATTCGTTCTTCAGTACAACAATTGATTTAGCAATTTAAGAAAGTTTTTCAGCCACCTCAGGGATTATGACCGCCGAGGGAGCAGGAGAAAGCTATCACCCTGAGGGAACGGGTGTCACCCATCAGTGTCAGGCCATACTTCTATCCTCAAATTCAAATGGATAAAATTGAGAAATTAATTAGAGAGATGCTGGAGGCAGGGATTATCAAGCTTAGTGTGAGCCCATTTTCTAGTCCAGTGTTATTGGTCAAGAAAAAAGATGGGAGTTGGAGATTTTGCATGAACTACAGGGCCTTGAATAAGAAAATTGTGCCAGACATTTTCCATCATAGTAATAGATGAGCTATTGGATGAGCTACGTGGAATAGTTATATTCACCAAGATAGATTTGAAGTAAGGGTACCATCAGATCCAAATGAAAAAGGAGGACATGTCGAAGAATGCTTTTAGAATGCATAATGGACACTATGAGTAACTATTGATGCCTTTTGTCCTTACTAATGCCCCAACCACTTTCAAATCTCACATGAACAAGGTGTTCCAACCCTACCTCAGGAGATTTGTGCTGCTTTCTTTGATGTCATTTTAGTGTACAGCAGGTCAGAGGAGGAGCACTTGTAGCATTTGAGGGCAATCCTAAAGGTGTTACAGGAGCAACAACTGAGGGCCAATTTGAAGAAATGCTGCTTTGCGCAGGCTAGTGGGGAGTATATCAAGAGGGTGTGGCTACTAATCAAATGAAGATTGAGGCTATGTTGAGATGGTCACTTCCTAAGAAACTTAGGGAGCTGAGGGGATTTATAGGGTTGACAGACTACTACAGGAGGTTCGTGAGGGGCTATAGCACCATCACCTGACCATTGATAGAATAGTTGAAGAAGAGTAGCTTCTTATGGGGGGAGGTGGCCACAACAACTTTTGAGAAGCTGAAGAAGGCCATGACCATCATACCAGTCTTGGCCCTACCAGATTTCACTCAAATTTTTGTAGTAGAGACGGATGCCTCAGAATATGGATTGAGGGCAATACTCATGCAAAGCCGCCGACCAATCGCTTACTTCAGCCAGATGTTGACAGTTAAGCTAGGTTGAAGTTAGTCTATGAGAGGGAGTTGATGGCAATTGTACTAGCCATTCAGAAGTGGCGACCTTGTTTGTTGGGTCGACATTTCATTGTCAGGACAGATCAGTGGAGTCTGAAGCACTTGTTGGAGTAGAGGATGGTGACAAAGGAGCATCAGAGATGACTGTCAAAGTTATTAGGATATGACTTTGAAATCTAGTATAGGCCAAGGATAGAGAACAATGCATCGGATGCTTTGTCTAGATGTATGGGGGAGCTACAAGAGATGGTTGTATCAATACCACTGATGCTGGATTAGGGGGCCATTAAGAAAGAGAGTGCGCAGGATGAAGAGCTGGAAAGGATTAGGACAGATTTATTTAAGGATGAGAGTAGTCACCCAAGCTATTCTCTAGAAATGAAGAGGCTTCTATACCAGGGGAGATTTATGATGCCCATGACATCAATCCATATTCTACACCTGCTACAAGAGTTCCATGGGACTGTTGTTGGGGTTATTCATGGTCATCGAAGACATATAGGAAACTCGCTATAGAGTTGTATTGGAAGGGGATGCACAAGGATGTGAAGGAGTTGGTAGCCAATTGTGAGATCTGTCAAAGGAACAAGTACATGGCCATGGCTCCAAGAGGATTGTTGCGGCCCTTAGCCTACTAGATCGGGTGTGGAGGTCTCCATGAATTTTATAAATAGGTTACATCGATCTAAAGGGTTTATAGTGATTCTAGTGGTGGTGGATAGATTGAGCAAGTATGCTGACTTCATTCACCTACAACACCCTTACACTGCAGTGATAGTTGCAGCAGCATTCATCATAGAGGTGGTCAGATTGCATGGGATACCCGAGTCTATAGTATCTGATCGGGATAAGGTGTTCCTCAACCACTTTTTGATGGAGCTGTTCAGGATGTAGGGGACAGTACTAAAGAGGAGCACAACATACCACCCTCATACAAATGGGCAGACAGAGGTGGTAAACAAGAGCCTGGAGACATACCTACGATGTTTTGTGTTCGAGACACGTAAGTTGTAGGCCAGATGGCTAGCATGGGCAGAGTATAGGTACAACACTACATATCATTCGGCCTCCCAGATGACCCCATTCAAAGTTTTGTATGGACGAGACCCACCGCACTTGGTGCATTTTGGGCGACATAGCACACCCGTCTCATTAGTAAAACATTACTTAGAGGAGAGAGATAGGGTGTTAGAATAACCAAAAAGGCACCTATTGAGGGCGCAACATATCATGAAGAAGCAGGCGAATGGATATAGGAAGGACATCCAGTTCAATGAAGGGAGAAGGTGTTCTTAAAACTATGGCCTTACAGGAAGTGGCGGTCACCAACATGAGGAATGAGAAGCTTATCCCAAGGTACTTTGGCCCATTTGAGATTTTGGAGGAAGATTGGAGCGGTAGCCTATCATTTGAGACTACCCCCAACGACAACTATACATCCAGTGTTCCATGTATCATAGCTGAGGAGAGCAATTGGGGATCAAGCAGCTAGTTTTGAACTATCAGAGACAATGACAGAAGACTTGGAGGTGATATTAGAACCACTAGAGTTGATGGAGGTTCGTCAGGGATGAGAGGGGATTAAGAAGGTTCTAATTAAAAGGAAGGGGCTACTAAACTACGAAGCCACATGGTAGCCTTACGAGAGGGTGAGACATCAATTCCCATCTTTCCACCTTGAGGACAAGGTGGTTCTTTGGGAGTGGGATATTGATATAAACAGAATGGTCCAGGAAGGACCGATCCAGCCGGCTAAAAAGGATGTTCTACCAAACACTAGCCTGTCATATTTCATTGTAACCAACAACATTTTGCATCCCCTGAAGCACTTCTGTTTAAATTTGTAATTCGCCAAAAAGGACTTCAGTATTAACCGAAGTGTGAGAGAAAAGAAAAACTAGTTTATTTGAGATAGCTGCAATTGTAACTAAGACAAAGTGCAAACAGAAGTTCAGGATGGAAGCATATGGAAAAAAAGTGTCCAATGATAATTCAGTTATTATTATATATTTCAAAGATATTAGATTGTACTTCGATGAAAAGTTCAGTGCAGCATTAAAATAAGCCAACATAAAGGAGATAATAAAAAGAGATCAATAGATTTTACCCATTGTCATTAAATACATTCCTTGAGATCTTCATTTTTTTCGTTGAACCGATACAAAGCTCCTCAAGGCTGCAAACCAGCGTGTTTTCGACAGCAGAAGCTTTCTTAGGTTGGCCTCCACCACCCACTCCTGCGCCTTCATTGTAAGAACTGAAGACATTTTGAGGCCCTGCAAACCCACCAAAGAATCTTCCAGCACCATCTGACCTAAATCTAGTAGACTTTCCACGGTTCATTGAGGCAAACTCAGATGGGCTGCACCCGAAGAACTCAGCAAAGATATCTTCTGCATCCCGAGGATTGAAGAAGAAATTTCCAGAGCCATTTGCACCATCTGTAGTACCAGGAGGGGGCATGCCCTTTAAACCTTCTTCACCATATCGATCATAAATCGCCCTTTTTTGAGGATCGCTCAAGACCTGATTATCATCAAACAAGCCATTTATTTCAACAGCTACCACGCAAACCAGAAAACTCTTGATTGTCAAACCAATACAGACCGTAGGAAGCATCATGAAAGGTTTACCCCTTGGAAGGTTATTCCAAAAGTTTTCATTCATGGAATAATTGCTAAGAAATTTAAGTATATTCAAAATATTGAAGCTTGAGTCACCTCACACGAGAATAGGAATTTTTATTACACATCAATTATATAAAATGCAGGAACTAAATGGAATCCTAAATTATATCATATACATTATGAATGTCTTAAACATATTTATATATAGTAAGAAGTAAAATAAGCAAAGAATCAACAGCTATTGACCATTCTGAAATAGCAAGTTATCCCAAAATTTGTACATCGTATAATAAAGATTCTTTAACACTCCCCCTCCAGTTTTGAATGTATGTTAATCATTTCTAACTTATCGAACATAATCAAGAATCATGAAAGTTTAATGTTCGGTAATAAGTCAACTGGTTGGTTAATTGTGGGCATGCGGGGTCATTTTGATCATTCCTTCAATTTTTCATGTATGAAGTAAAACCTGTTAGGAAATATGCAATACCAAATAATTAACTGTTTAATGCCGAGCAAGACTGTAAATGATTTAATATTATCGACAAGCTGCTCATGCTTAGCTAGGTTAGAGCTCATTCAAGATCATTTAATTAACTGATCAAATAAATTTTAATACCTTTATAAATGCTTTTCTGATAAATGAGCAAGCTTGAAGTATTTGGTGTTTTACTCATTTATGACCATAAACTATATTTTTAAAGCTCCTGAATAAGCACGTTAAAAGCTTGACTAAGGATCGATAATATGCTCATTTAAGACTCATTACAAATATCTTTAATATATGATTATGCAGGTTAGGGAAGCAGGAAGTAGGCGATGGGTCTTGAGAACATAAAAGAGGATGTGTTGGAGAGGCAGTCAACTAAGTATGAGTAGAAGGAGGTTGTGGGCTCCGAAAATTCGGCCCCTGCCTCCGCTCGCTTTTCTTTTATTATTCGGCGAGGGAGTTTTAACGGATAAAGTTCCGGGGTAAATTTTGGAAGGCAGATGGGTTTGTAGATAAGACACTACCTAGAGATTTCGCCCTCATTTTGTGAGGACTTTATGATCTGAGTTCTGGTTTCCTATAGGCGCAAGCCCCTAAGGTAATTACCCCTCCTGATAACGAGAGAGAACTTTCGATTAAGGCTAGTCATCAATCAGACACGTAGAGAATATGTGTTATCTGGCATATAGTAGCAGCATGGGTTTGGATTTGGAAATTGGGTTTGGATTTAGGTAATTTGGAGGGTTGAAAGATTTGATATTTAAAATTTAAAATTTCACCATCTTGCACTTAAAGCGGATGGTGGGGGAATAGATGATAGTGCCGATCAAGATCCCATGGTTCCGTCGTCCCGGGCCATCGTGGTCCTTGGTCTACTTAGTCAGAGGAGGTAGTCGACCCAACCTGACAGAAGGATCCTTGTCCGCAGCCATGGGTTGCTTTGTCCAAGGATACCATGTAGACCTGGGTTGGATATTTGTCTAAGGGGACAAATTTTGAATCCACCTTAGCTAACAGCGAGCTTTGTGCCCTATCGATCATATCTTATTGATTCATATCTCAAGGATTTGATGTCAATAAGGAGCGTATTGGCGCTGACCATAACCGGTATTTCGTGGTGCCATTTGGAGGCAAAACCACTCGGTTCAGAGGGCCCTGAGTCATAACCATTTATCCTGCGGTGCCATTTGGCAGCAAACCGCCGGTCAGAGGACACATACCACGTCTTTATCGGCAGGAGACTTTTTGAGAATCGATCATAGTAATATTTTCGACTAGACATTTGGCTCTTTGTGAGCTTAAGTAGTTTTAAATTTGTCCACCTTGGCAAACTGTTGTGGAGGGTGGATGGATTTTACTTTAAGCGTTGAGATGGATAGCTTCATTTTTAAATATTTTTGGGATTTTGAGATTTTTTTTGGATTTTGGATTTTGGATGGAATTTTGAGTACTTGGTATGGACATTTGGGTAGAATTTTGAGAAATATTTGTGAAACCCCTCCGATTGAGATAATCATTCAACACGGCCATCATCGGGGTGTTTGGGGTTATTTCCATTTGATTGAACCTTGCTTGTCGACTCTGTCTAGCTGTCAACAGAGGATCGGAGGATCGGGTTTCATAAGCTTTGAGCATTTATTAGTGAATTCTTTTGATTTTAGGCTTTGAAGGCCTAATATGAATGTATTGAAATAAATATTCTGGTCGTCACGGCCACATATTTGTTTGTTGGTTCGAACCATGTCGACTCCTATTGATCCGTATAGAAGGATCGGGTTCGAACTAGAATTCACTTATTGACCCGCGCAACATCCCTAGACGTCACGTGTGTACCAATAACATGCTCGTCGGGGCCCATGCGGGTTGAGATTGTATTTTCCCATTTAGTATACCTATGTGTATACAAATTACAGTGCACGTGCAGGGGTATTTTGAAATATTTGTAGACGCCTTCTGTCTGCTTGTACGGAGGTTGCAGATCCGGTGGCGTGGTGTAGCAGCTTCTGAATAGAGTTATTCGCTGCTTCGTACAGGTGGATTATCGTGCACTACTCGTCGCTTTCTGCAGGTGGATCGTAGTGCACTAACTAATCTCCTGCCTTTTGATTTGTAGATGCATTCACATGATATTTTTGTTCGTGGTTGTTGCTTTGCATACAAGTCTTCTGGAACTGACTGTATGCATTTGAATTTGCTATAGTTATTCTGCATTTTGCTTGTGACCAATATATTAGATGCATAATAGTTCTTTTACAACAGGTTATGGGAGCCTATATCTGTTGCATGTTGTCTGCTTCTACTTGCAGTGAATTAACTTTCGAGCCGCAGGAAGGGGAAGTCGTCGGGCTGAGCGAAGTCGGACGGAGGCGACTAGGGCTAAGTGTCGGTTTCAGGTAAGAAGAACTTTTTATATCTCCCTCTCTCTCTCTCTCTCTGTTGGAAGCAACGACGGTGGGATGTGGGAGGCAGTGACAGGCTGAGGGCAGGGATTTGGTTTGTGATCACAGTAGATCGGGAAGAGATGGGGGAGGAGACGAGATCTGGAGAGGAAAGGAGGTTGGAAGTCGGGGAGCTTGCTGTGTGCGTGGGAGAGGAGCCAAGAGTCGTTGCTGGGATGTGGAGTTCCCTCGCCTTTTAACGACGCGAACAGAGCAAGTAACGAGGAAATGTCGCAGAATTCACGCCGGATTTGCGGAGAAGCGACTGGAGCGGCGCCGTTCTGCAGGTAAGCGGGATTTCATCCTCTTTCTCGGCGGGATTTTAGGGGTTTTAGCTTTTTTTGTTTTATTTCAGTTTTATATTCGATGGTCAACAAATGCCCTCAACAAATGTGCTACGCGTCTAGAACGAATCACGTTTGTTGTATGCATATTGACCCTATGAATCTCTAGATATTTGTTCTAGATGTCACACTAGGGTTTTCATTTAGTGGATCTCCAGATGTCACACTTAGACGTTTAGTGAATCTCCAAAAATTTATTTGGATGTCACACTAAGATTTTCATTTTCCATTTTTTTTTTTTTTTAGATTTTCATTTTCCATAGATCTCTTGGATGTATCAATAGATAGTTGAGATGCTGATTTCTTTTACCTTGTGTTTTGTGATGCGGACATTGATGGGGAATTAGCTGATTTGTCTTCACTGACTTGTCAGGAGATTTATGTTCCTTCGGTCCTATGCTTCTAGCTTTGGCGAGCTTGATGAAGGAGTAGATGCCGATGACCTAAACCCTTAGGTTTGTATTAGGTCGATGGCGAAAAGTCATCGGTCCAGAGATTTGTGCGTAGCGGACTTGTTGATGACAGGATCCTCTTAGTCCAGCTTTGGGCTTTGTGTGAACTTTGGGATAATTTTCTCGGTGTTTTGCTTTGTGCTTTGACGGACTTGTTGAAGAAAGATTACTTCGATCCTCGCTTTGCGCTTTACGGATTTGTTGAAGGATTTGCAGGTTCTGGATTCAATTGATAGTACCGAACGTAGGTAGTATCTTGATCCTTAACCACTTGAGAAGATTTTGATCTGAGTCACTTAAATTCATTAGATCAGGAGAGCTAGAATTTGATAGCTCTTTGTCCTCTGGTTGCTGAGATGGAGGTTCCTCTACTATGGCATTTCTTATGGCTAGTTGAGTAGACGGAGCTGCCAGCGATCCGGCCATATTTGGACTTGTTGGATCCGACCTCTTACACCCATTCAGGCTTCAGACTCGAGCTATGGGAATTGCGCTCCCCAATGCTAACTTTACTGAAGTTGGTAGATATGGAGGCATCCTTCGTGGTTTTAGATTTTGGAGCCTACGAACATTCGGTATTTGCTCGAGAATCATCTTCCCACTGGAACCTTGATTCTCCAGTCATTTAGGAAAATTTTGTAGACTATGATCACTTGAACTGGTCGAGTCAAATTTGCCTTCGTACTTTCTACAGTCTCTACTGACGGGTTGACGAAGTGGGGGTTTCGCTACTACGGCTTTTCTTATGGCTTGTTAAGTAGACGGAGCTGCCAGCGATCCGATCATATTTGGGCGTGTTGGATCCGACCTTTTACACCCATTCGAACCTTAAAATTCAGGCTATCGAAAGACTTCAAACTTCTTCGGCTCAATTTTGTAGGAGTGTGTAGCCACAAAAGTCTTTCTTGACTTTTGAGTCTTTGTTCGTTGGAGAATGTGTTGTCTCGATCTTTTGAGATATCACCTGCATATATTCTAAAAAGAAATCATTGTATTCTTTAGCACAAAAGGATATTTGAATTTATAATTTTAAATATTTATTCAGGGATCTCAGCACGCAGCATGATGTCGACCCGAATAAATATTTAAAATGTCCCGTCTCGTAGGGATATTTTAGAATAGAATAAATTTGAATTTTTAGATTTTAAATATTCATTTGGGGATCTCGGCGTATG